CAGCAAGCAACTCATGCCACTGTGCCTCAGACACAAAGGCCCAGTCACTGGGCAATCCAAAATAAAAGAAAAATAGTTATTGAAGGAATATTCAGAAAACCAGATGCAATTATTAGCTTGCTTCCCTCTGTAACTTTAAATAAAGATTGCTCCTAGCTAGATGGGCTCTGGGCCTGGACTTATTTATAAGCTGTTTTCTCACTCAGTTTATATACAGGAAAAGAGAGAGGACACTGAAAGCAATTTACCATTTTGATGTTATTGAAATAGGAACTCAGTGTGGTACTAAAGTATATGATGGTCCCGAATCCAAGGTCAGACAGGTTTGTCTGAGGATGATGGTTATCAAAACAAAGCACTGCCACCAAGATGGTTTTTTTCATTTTTATCCTTTTCTAATTAGAATGATTTTTTTTTTCTGCCACTGTAACTAGCTGAGTTAGTTCAAATAGTTCCATTATTTTTAATGTACTGGACAATTTATTGTGAAGTATGAGCTGAGACTAAGAATCTCCTCCTAGAAAATGTGTCAATGAATGGATTTCTGGCTTTAGAGAAGTTACTTGCCATATCAGGCAGCCAAAGAAGGTTTAAGGAAGGACTGTCATGCCCATCTTGCAGATGGACCTCAGTGTGAGGAGACCAAGAGTCTTGCTCTGTCTTCACACAGTGGATCTGCACACCTCAGAAGGATGTTTCTCACTGCTGCTTCAGGACTGAAATGAAATGGCTTTTCCTCTCTGGCTCTGATCCAGAAGAGATCAGCCAGGACCTAAGGTCTGCTGACTGCAATCATCTACATGAAATGGGCTTACCAGTTCTAGGAGAAAGAAGACCAGAGTACATGAAGGTGATGTTGTTTCCCTCACCCCAAATTTCCCTGAACCTAGAATATGCACATTTATCAATCTGAAAATCACAGTGATTCCCTCCTCCCTTGACCCTAGCACTTGATTTCTTTTTCCCTTCTTCAATAATTTCAAAGTTCACTGCATACATGAGAGATTGCACACAAGGGACACCAACCCAGTGCCAAGGTTGGGAAGCCAGTAACCTCACCTTGAAAATGTTAGCAACACATTGCTTTACAATAATGCATCTTTAGGACAGCTTCACCTGGGTGACAGACTGTCCCAAGCCCCTTTTATGCTGATGTTCCCAGTGCATATAAACAGGGTTTCCAAGATGATGGCTACCTCCAGGTGTGATGGCATGTGTGTCAATTCAGTGTGTAAAAGCTAAATCCTTTGATGAACACATTCTACTGGAACCAGCCAGACAACAGGTTAGGAGCTCTGCTCATGCAGCTGCCCAGAGACAGCAAGTCTGTCCTTGCTGCTCTCTGAAAAAAGAACAGACTATGCAGAGAACACGAGGCCATGGTGTATCTGCACATGCACTAACAGCTCCTGCTTTCAGCCCAACTTTGGGGGAAAAAGCAAACCAGCCAAACAAATATTCCTGTATTTCAGGGAGTAGCAGCCACTCCACCTTTCTGCCATGTGCTGGCTGTGCAGCAGGGGGATAAAGGCCAGGACCATACATGGCTATCCAACCACCCCACTAGCTGAGACATTTGTCTTCATGAAGGAGGGCCCATGGTCAAACTTCTCTTCCTAGTTCATCTCAGTATCAGCCAGGAAAAGAGCTTTCTGTGCACCCTTCCCTGGGTTATTTGCTGAATAAAATTCTTTCTCATTAGCAGGCCAAAGCCCAAGAAACAGCCACTGGAACAAACAAGGTTCTGTGCAAATATAATCCCCACCTCACCACCAGGGAATTAAAGCCAAGAATTAGGCTGTAGCCATTCCCTTTCAGCACAATGAATGCTTAAGCAGGTTACAGCTTTGCACTGTGGACATTTTCTGGGGAGAAAAGAGAATGACTGCTTTACCAGCCCAACTTGCTGCTCTCAGTGCAACAAGCCTAGGGATTATTTTTTGACAAAATAGTTAAGAATGATTACTGCATGTCAGTATGTTTTAAGTGTTAACCTCAAGGACTGATGGAAGTGCTGGTATTTCTTCAGTCTGCTCTTTTCCCATCAGTGGTATTTGTGATGTGCAGGAGAAAGGGGCTTGGTTGACATGGAAGATGCCAGCTAACAAAACCTTCTCATTGCTGCTGCAGCAAAAATTCATACAGGTGCTTGAGAAAGAAAGATTCTCATTTCCCACACAGAAAAACCTATACTTCAGAGACTTACATTGAGTTTGTTAAGCACTGCAAGAAAAAAGTTACCTGGAAAGAAAAAGGAAGTCATTTACTGCTGGATTTGCTATCCGAACTGCTCATCAAAGGTGCAGATCTACCCTGTAATTCTTAAGCTGAATTTGGCACTTCACTACTCAGGACAAGAGGCAGCTGATGCACTCGAGGCAGACATAATTGGAACTGTTTTGTAAGAAGGTGGGATGGTGCAAATCAGAGATTTTGATTCTGTTCAAGCCCATGGGCTGATTACAGGCTATACAATGAAAAAGTGAAGTTTCTCTTGCTGAGACATTTCTAGCTAGACTGTGACGTCTCCTGGACTTCTCCAGACTATGAAAAATTTACACCACACAGAATTGAGGAGCAGGGATGGAACTGCACACAGGGCTAACCCTGAGATGAAGCTTTGGATGTGGTGCCAACAATTCATAAAGAAGAACATGAGCTGGACACAAACCAAAGGATATGGGGGCTGTGGCAGGAGAGTTAGCAGGATGTGGTGCACACAGGCCTCACCAGCAGATCATCACTTACAAGGGAAAGCACACAAAAGGTGATGAAGCCAGCAGCTCTGTGACACTACTACAGGTTGGGTTTTGCACCGGGCTTCCACACCACACTGTAGCAGAAGATGGCCTTAGCATACTCCCCCCTTCCCCTGCACTGCCTGGACGTTGATCTTGTCTCCTGCAAAGCCCTGCTTTAGCAGCCCAACTGCATATGGTGTATTTGAAAAAAAAACCAGGGATGTCCTGTGCCCAAACCAGCCACAGGAAGGTACATGAGCACTGTGACGTTCTGCACCAAGCTCAGGTGACAGAGAGAGCCAAGGTCCCAAACCAGCCACAGGAAGGTACATGAGCACTGTGACTTTCTGCACCAAGCTCAGGTGGCAGAGAGAGCCAAGGTAACAGAAGATCCAGAGAGAACTGCTGCTTTGAATTGCAGCAGCACTGCCTGGTTCACAGACAACCTGGGACATGCAGCTTCTTGAGGACAGTGGTGGTGCCAGACCTGGGATTTGCTCAGAGCACAACCAGTGGCACACAGTGCAACAGGCCCTCAGTACAGATGAGCCAGCCAACTGCTTGAGCTCACCTTTGTTTCAAGCTAGCATAACTTCAGAGAGATAAACAGCAGTGTGGCTGCTGGAGGCTCTCCAGGGATGGCTGCAATTCAGCTTGTCACCAGTGACTGAATTGAAAGATCTGTGTCATGCCAAGTGGGCAGAGAAACCAGTGCCATGGTGTCAGACACAGCCACGGTGCTGGAGCTGAGCACCCCCTGGCACATCCCACCTGCAGTTCAGTGACACAGGCTCTCTCCTAGGAATGAGAATCCCTGGGTTTCTTGCTGGTCCCCCTGGAAAATAACCCAGAAAGTTTTTCCTCCTTTAGTGAGCCTTTGTTTAAAATGAAGCTGTTAGAGGGAGGCTCTGCATCCTGCTGTCATGGCAAAACAAATTAGAATTGATTTTCCTCAGTTGCCACAGATAACAAAAATGCCCACACTACCACTGGTAGTAAAATTCTTGTGCATATGCCCCTTAAAAAATACAACAAGGGACACTCTGGCAGCAGAACCCTCTGTCACCTCTTCTGGGATCTAAGTACATGGCACAGACTTTCAATCAAACCTCAAAACTCCCAAGTTATAAACAGATACAGCTGTAAAGATCCATTCAGCATTCTCAGCCTAGTAATTAATTTACTAAAATCTTTAGGTACCACTCTGCTGGTCTAAAATGTAGCTTGTTCTATCTTGTGTGTGAGTATTCCTGAAGCAGAAAAGGACCAGCTTCAGCAAGGTTACTGATCATAAAACTCTGTACTAAATAAAGATGATGTAGTTTCAAATTTTCTCCTTGCAGTTTGGATATTACAAAACCATTGAATATTACAGTGTCACAAGAAGGTTCTCAAGAGTTAATTCCTATTCAGGAATGAAATCCTCTTTTTTCATATTTTAATGCATTTTCTCTGACTTTGAAATGTGGACTTTTAATTCCAAACACAGAAAGAGAAATTGAACAAAAATAATAACAGCTGCCCAACACTTCCTCATTCCCTCACCTCAATAACACCATTACAAACCAAACCTCCACACATGACAAAGGTTATTACAAACTATTTCCATCTACAAAGCCAAACCATTCCCTACATCAGCTCTTGCACAATGCCAAGAATTTGCAGCTCTCAAGCATGTGCCAACCACCTTCTGTGACACAGAACCAACTCCACCATTGACCCCCTCAGCCACCCCAGGCAAAGGTGGCACAATTAGTACAGGGAGAGCTGGGTGTAGGAAAGGGGGATAAATCACAGCTTACACAGATGAGCCAAAGGAGTCCAATCACCACCCCACAGCACTGTGCAGGCTGTAGGGATGATACAAACTGTTCAAGTGCTCCTTTCAAAGACAGGGGTTCACAGAAGCTGGAAATGCAAGATGTGGTATACTGATGGAGGCTTGGGGACACAGGCCAGCTCATTTTAATGCAATCGTATGCAGAGGGTTTTGCTTTTTCAAACCTGCTTAAACTACTCTTTAAGACTTGTGTGTGATCCTCTCCCAGCATTCAAATATATTCATATTCCATGTCTGAATTGCCTTGTACAGCATGGCAGCAGAGACAGTGTGCTTAAGTGATCAAAGCACCTTTCAGAGCTGCACTACCAGCACTTACAAACAGACTTGTTTTACAAACATTTACAGTCTCAGTGAGGTGACATGTTTTCCTCATCCACCCCATGCTGGATACAGCAGTGGCACGTGCTGACACTTACCTAGGAAGCCCTCTTCATCCACAATGATGGTGTAGTCCTCAGGGGTTTCTGTGAGGCTGAAGAACTTGCACCTGGCAAAGGCAAACAGCAGGAGAACATGATTAGCACCTGGACTGAGCAGAGCCTCATCTTCCACCTAAAATGGAAATCCTTTGCCATCCAAGCTGTGCTGAAGGAAAGAGTCCCAGTTTGATGTTTATGGAGAGGCCTGAGGCATTAACAGACCTGGATTTTATTTCTGGGTAGCTCATACTGTGTGACCCATATTCCCTGCTGCCTGCCTATGCACAATGAAGCTGGTAAAACTCTTATTGTTTTTATTACTTAGTTCTTAGTTACTTTTCTTAATTACCATATCCCTTAAGGCTTCCCCTCGCATCCAGGACCTGCTGTGTTGCACTGACACAGAGCAAAAGCCTTTGCTCACTGATTGTTCACTCCAGCACCCTCCAAAAGCATTTCCATGCCTCACACATGCACCTTTTTGCCCACTGAAGTTTCTTGCCTTATCAAGGTTGGACATCTAACCTCTGAACCAAGCCCCAGTATCTCCTCTTGCTCCTTCAGAGGCTTTTGCCACCAGCAGACAGCATCCCACTTCCCTGTGCTGGCCCTCTCCCCTTCCTGGGGTGCTCCTGGTGAAGAGTGGTGGCAGCCACCAAGCCAATGGACACCAGGCTGAGCTGTCCCCCTGCCCAGCCCCCTGTGGCCTCTGTCCTGCTCCATCTTCTGACTTCACAGGCCATGTGCAGGGCAGCACCCCCAGCTCCTCCACCATTTAACACAATGTCACCTCTAACAGGAGATACAAATCAAATGTGACATGGCATTCTTCCACTGCAGACACACAAACAAAAAAAGCTTCAGCCTTAAGGCTTAACACCACATATAGTCAAAAAGGGTTTTTTTTTTCCCCTGACACACCAACATATGTACATCAACATGTACTGAAAAAACCCCAGCTTCTCTCTAGCTGGTCCCCAGCAATGGCAGGAAGGTCAGCATGACATTTTGCAAGCTCATGTTCACCTTCAGCAGAGCATCAGCACAGTGCTGGCCAGCATCCCTGACACCCACAGCACTCCTGGTCCCTCCAGGAGATTGCCACTGACTGTGCTTGTTGCCTAAGACCAGGAGAAATTTTTCCCTCTAAATTGGGTGCAGCAGGAAGAGCATGTGTCTCTAAGAACCAAAAGCAGGATTTCACAGTTACACTACAATACTCTCAAATTTATCTTTATGAGACAACATACAAAAAATGTTTTAAATACTAGAAAAAGTCCAGTATTTAAAAAGAAAGAGAGAAAGAAAGAGATTGTTCTCCAGGCCCCCAAATTTCACAGCATCTTCACAGTGTAATTTCTGCATGAAGCACGGTTCAGCAGGATTCAAGAACCAGGGACTACCAGGGCTTCTCAGCACTGCTGAGCATCTGTGTCCCAAAGTCTTCAAGACTTCTGAAAGTCTGGAATCCCATATTGCTGGTTGAAGACATCAAAAATTGAAAGCATTCACTTCATAAAGAATCAGATGAAAACCTGGCTTCAGCATTCTTTTGACTGGCTGAAAAGAACAAACATAGCAGCTCTCCCCTCCAAAAGCAACAGGGAGAAAAATGAGATGGATGCTGCCCTCCTCATCACCTCATCAGAAAACTGAGAGGAAACAACACACAGTTCAATTAGTGGTCTGCCATGTAACCAACAGGATTTCATGTACATGGAAAGCATTAGACAACCTGCCTTTAGAGAGCTGTCCTGTTTTCCTGGAAGCATCCATCACAACAATCAAGCATAACACTCCTTCCTAGCACAGACATGTCATTGTAAAATACAGACGTGGCCCCACCACGATAGAAACCACAACTTAATTATTTTGTGTCATTGGTAATAGCTGCTGTGACAGCCACATTTACCAACTCAACTCTCTCCAGGAATAGTGCCAAAAGAAGCAGAAAATAGCAGCAGCTCAATTTTTTTGCCATCACTTCTAAACTGTACGAGGCTGCTACCAGTGCAAGGGATAATACAAGCTGGGCAAAAAGGACTTCTGGGATGCTGCTTCAGGTGGGTTCCAGGAGGCAGAGGTATTTGTTTCAGTGGGTGAATTCCCTAGAGAAGTCACTGAAATAAAACTCTTTGCTACTACTGCCTGCCTGAGTCACATGCATGCTGAGAAACTAGAGGTCCTAAAGGAGAAAACATTAATATTAAAACCATAACCTTTCCTGATCTGCAATGGCATTTATGGAAGAATTTTTTACTAGAACAGTAATAAGCGTCTGTGTGCACACACTGACCTTAGGAGAAGAATGATTGTGACAGATGCCAGTTTCTGGCCACACATCTAAATATGCTGATATTTAAGGGATATGTACACATGAAATCCCATAATTGGTGCCTCAGAACTCATGTCAAAATCTCATATCTTCATATACCACCTCAAAGCCCAATCCCCAACTCAGTGCAGCTCTGTAAAAGGTCAGGACCACAGAGCCATCTGAATTTAAAAGTGAAGTCTTTCAGCAGCACACAGAAGACCAGTGGTTCTTGTGGTATACATTCACTTAGTTCAAGCCAATGATGCATTCTTTTCCCAGAGGAAATCTAGACGTGAAAAATTGGAATTGCAAACCTTGTGTGATAGGAAAAAGGAACTCAATGTCATCTCTCTCTCCCACATTACACTACACATGCCTCTTCCATTCCAGTTATTTCAATAATTTCTATTTCCTCTTAAACCAGTCTTCGATAAGCTGCATGCCAGCAGCATCTTCTATCACCACACTAAATCCAAGAAAGGAAAAGAATTACCCTTTAATAATTTTGAGACATCAGACAAACAGTATTTCTCTAAGTACATGTGGAAACCCTATATGTAGGAAGACAGTATTTTTAGTTTCCTACTAGCCAAACCTTGGATGGATTATTTTGGATTTCTGCCTTCTCAGTGTTTAAGCACATTTCCACTTAAGCACTGTTGCTGACTTTGACTGCCTGACAACATATGCCTTTTTCTGGCAATGCCACAAATGTAGACCAATCTATTATTAGATGAGATCTTTGAAACTGCAAAGCTTACACTGTGTATGGAAGAAATCCTCAAGCTTGCACAGAGCAGGAAAGTGCCTACGGGATGCAGCAACAGCATCATTTCAGTTTGCAAACATTGCTCCAGTCTCCATGGGAGAAGGGAGCAGGAAAGTGGAGTGCTTGGCTGTGCTTGCAGGTCCACACCAGAAGTGTCTCCTCCAGCCATTTGGTGTCCCAGCTCTGCTGAGATCACCAGAGTGGTAATACTGGGATGAATGTGACTTCTGTTTGTTCTGGGTCACACACTGAGCACAAGTTCCTGGGAATGATGGTGTGGGGCATTTGAAAGTTCAGTACAGACAATGGTCTTTAAGGAAGACCACAATCCTACCTCCTTATTTATAAAGAAACTGCTTAATTAATTGTTATCTCAGCAGGGTGAAGTGTTACAAAACTGTCTGCCCTATGGAAAAGATTGATTCCAGAGGCATGTGAGCAGCTGGTCTCCCCACATGTAGGAAACCATGGCTAAATGCCATTCAAGGAAGTCAAATGCAAAGTCTGGAAGTAACACAGAAGTTTGCAAAGAAGCAGTTGAACTGAATAGAAATTTAGAAGCAGTAGCAGCAAGCTCATCTGTGTGACTATGAAAGACATAATTTGTTGGGATTTGTTCCAGGCTGTCTTTCCATTTGAGATGAGGAGGGATTTGTATGCTTCACTCTGTATGTTATCATGACAATATATATTCTTATCACAGAATAAGACACATGCTGATCATCTAATTCTTGTTGATCCTTTTTGCAGTTTATAAATAATGACAAGAGGAAGATTCAATGCAACATTTTGTGAGACACACTTGGAAAGCAGTAAAGGACACCTGTGCTGTTAATGACACAGAGGCCATAGGGGACTGTTAAAAGGGTGAGCAAGCCCTGCTGAGCACTCTCTGGCTCTGCAGTTCTCAACTCATCCCATGGATGGGGTCCCACAGTCCCAGCTGGTGCAGTGTTGCTGTCAGAGCACTGGGGTGGTAGCAATCACTACCTGCTGCTCTTCCACCCTCAGCAGTCCCACTGCAGAAGGATCCTCTGAGAGACCAGACAAGGTATTCAGCCCAGTTTCCTCTGTCTCCACAGCAGCTCCCCCAAAAGCCCAACCATGCCCTTTTGGGTCCTTGAAATACCCTCTCCTGAGGCCACCTATGCCAAGGATACACAGGCTCTCTGGGCCAGGCACAATGGGCTGGTTTTGCCATTCATTTCCAGTCAGGCTCACTTGAGCTTCCAGCACAGTCAGCTTTGGGATCCTCCTGTCACTGCAGAAATGGAGCTGGATTCTGCCCCTACATATCTGGATGGGGTTGGGGTGCACTGTGCAGCAGTGTCAACTAAAGTCTTATGTGCTTGTGGCTCTGATGTGGCACAGATCCACACAGTCCAGTGGATCTGACTGTCCCTGTCCTCCACCTGGCTGGAGGCAGGGCCCCTCTAGCTCTGGCCACAGTACTCCATGCTCACTTCTTGTAAATGTGAACTGGAGGTCCCTTCAAGAGGATCAAAACCAACATCATCCCTCCTACTGCCTCTGAGGACTTCCCCACTGGAGACATTTCTGCAGCTCCTGCCAGGGCAGTGCAGAGCTGCAGAACACTCTAAGGGTGCCATGCAGCTCCACAAAGCCAGGAGACTGGTAAAAAAATCATCTGCTGCTCTTTATGTCTAAATGAAACACTTGGAACCTCACTACTAGGATAAAGTGAATTTAAGGCAAGCTTAGGCAGAAGGTGAACCATAGCACAAGAGAAAATGCAGACACACATATCACCTGCAGCAGGCCATGAGTCTCTTCAGGAACCAGAGCAGCACAGCATTGCCAGCACCAAGGGACAGCAAGAGCCTTAAACATGGGCCAACCATGCCCATCCTAAGCACTGCTGAGGTGCTGCCTCTGCTTCACTGACCTACTATAAAACCATTAGTGGGAACCATAATAACTGCTAACATGCTGGAAGGACAAAGACACATCCTCTCAGCCCA